ATATATATATATATATATATATATATATATATATATATATAATTGGGATGGATTAAAATAATAACAAATTATTTAAAAAAAAGCTTTTGAAAATTTTACATGTAGCATCAAATTTCCGTACATTTTTTCTTATACATAACTTACCTTTGTCTCTTTGCGAAATTTTTTTTAAATAAAGATACTATGTGAAATTTTTTTAAAATTTTTAAGAATTCACCCTTAAAATTAACTATAAATATATTAAAATGAGTCTAACCAAATTCTTTTAAATGCTTGTTAGGATTTTTTTATTTTAATGTAATAAGACAAAATTAATTTTACAGCCAAAAAATTAGTCGACTTGAATTTATAGTATACCAGTCCAAAAATAAAATATAAAATATGTAATCTAAAAACTTATATGTATTATAATTAATATTAATTTAAATATACTTATGTATTAGATATATTTAATCAAAACTAATCTGATAAATTTTTATTTTAATCTAAAATATTAATCTAATAGTGATGTAAGTATTAGTCATACAAACCTTATTTGATATATTTGATACAATTGGTGTTAACGGTGTCCAATATTTACTTATCAATATCAATCGATAAATTTATAAATCTAAAATAAATATATATATATATGTATATACAGAAATATATATGTATATACATATACATATATATGCATACATATATGTATATACATGTATATATATATACATATACATATGTGTGTGTATATATACATACATATACATATAAATATACATATACATATGTATACATATATATACATATGTATACACATATATATACGATTTCTCGATGGACATTATAATGCGAAATAAAGATTATGGTATCTATTTAAAAAAATTTAGGTATATTAATGTGTTGAATCCAAACTTTTGAGGGATGAAAGTGAAAATTACCAATGCATATATACGCGTGAGTTAGCCCTCTCATACGACTCCGTCGTAGAGAACACCGGAAGGGATCAAGAAACATCCTGTCGAGATGGAGCGAGTCCAGGTAATCCCTCCCTCCTTCCATGAATAACACCCCATGATCACGTCTCTTTCATCAATGGAATCCATCCACCGATTCACCATTCCCCCGTCTCTTCTTTTAGTTTCAGATCGATCGGATCTTGTCGCTTCAATGGAATTGATAAAAATGTGTTTTTTCCCCTATGGAATTGATCGAGAAAGGAAGCTAGGTTCTCGTGGATCTTGGATCCTAGGGCTTTCGTGCTGGAATTCATGCTCGCAATATGAAATTTTATTTAATTTAGGAAATTATTGATCGTTTTGTTGATACTGTTTGCAGACTACAGAGGAGAATTATGCGAATCCAAAAACTTGCCTTTTCCATGTTCTTTTCAAGGTGTGTTCTTTGACATTGATTACCAGTTACTAGTTGTTGTTATTGTGGCAATGAGTTTGCTTGCTTTCATGTCGATAGGCTGCATCGTTGGCTTTCTACATACTCTCAGCGCTCTTCATCGATAGTTTTGTGATCATTTTTGTGGTCACTGTTTTTCTTGCGGCTCTCGATTTCTGGGTCGTCAAGAACGTCAGCGGGAGGATACTGGTCGGGCTGAGGTGGTGGAATGAGATAGATGAGCGAGGAGAGAGCGTCTGGAAGTTCGAATGCTTGGATCAGGAGGTTCTGGCATTCTCTATCTAGCTTGAGTGTTATTTGGGGGATTGATTGATCGAGTACAATGCGAATTCCCATCCATTTTTATTCTTTGATTTATTATCTTTACAGTCTCTTGCGCGTATGAACAAGAAGGATTCCTGGCTCTTTTGGTGGACGCTTTATATCACGGTAAGTCGTCTAATTCATTATAGCTATTGCTTGCATTGTTTATGTAGTCACTTGTTCTTATGGATGCTAAACAAGTATCCTATGTTCTCAATTCTTGTTATCTATCGAGCAGAGGCATGCTCGATTTCAAACCAGCAAGCAAGGAACAGTTCATGTAAGGATGACATGGTAGTTTATTTCTTCATACACACAGGCATGCTTTATTATACATAGGATTTTTGGGTTCATAGGCACATATGAATTCATATGGCTAGTATTGATGGCTTAATCTAGAGACAAGTGTGGAATGAAAAGTTGGAAACCAGGAAAAAGAAAATCTCCATCAAGGTTATACATGATTCAATATCTGACATGATAATAGGATCTTTTCTTTATGTCAAAACAAATTCAAACTGGATCGAATTTAGCTAATTAGCTATTACATCAACTTTAAGTCATAACCAGGACTCAAAATAATAATAATTAATAAAGGTTAAATGAATATTCATGACTGATATGTTCCTTATCATTCAGAGAAAAAACTACTTTCAAAATCTTTAAATTATTCTTATCGACCTGTATTTCCACTCGCGCATTATTATTATTTTTTCTCAGGTAAGGTGTTGTATCTTCATAGTTTTGTCATCTTTAATGCCCATCTGCTTGTATGGTTTACTCTGTTTGACCTATCGCTTCTTCTAAATACCGGAGGCATAATTCTCCCTGTTGTTTTAGCATTTCTCACTTCCATTGCACCTTCACTTGTTTTCTCTGCTGACGCAAATGAAAAGTTGTGAGATACATGTAATTCACAAATGAAAGTTGAATTATGCAGTTGCTATTAAAGTTGCAATACCAATTCTCTTAAAAGTACATTCCTCGCGTTTGCAGGCTGTTGCTTGGATTTTCCTTGCGATATTCTCACTTATAAGGTTTCAAGCAGATTATCTACTAGTTGTGGGAGTTTGTTTAAGCCTCAGCATTGCAAACATTGTGGGCTTCACTAAATGCCGTAAAGGTACATGTCTCATGTGGTTAGATTTGATCATTCATTGTGTTGTCTAGATAATATATACCAAACATCTCTGATGTTTTGTGCTTGCAATCTGGCACACTTCATATACTGGATAATTCTTAGCTTTGTTACTAACGTAAAGAAACCACATCTGATCAAAACCCAGATCAAACTGAACAAATTAGGAGTTGGCATCTATACTACTACTTGGTTGGACACTGGAATGTGCATTATATGTATGTCTTTGGAATTCGTCTCTTGTTAGATATTTCACTTCTTTTACAGTTATTGTAAGAATAATAGACTATAAATTATTATGTTGCTTAATCTCATGTTTATCCTTGTTGTTTCAAAGATATGCTGATGTTTAGAACGTAATTGGAATTTGGAAGCTATGAAGCATATATTTGTTTGGGCTTTTTATTCGCAAACTCAAAGGACCCATTTCATGTGAATATGACATAAAGATGCTCTTTTTTTTTTTGGCTCTTGTAAGAAGTGTTTCCAATTCCTAATTCAATTATAGCAATGCTCAACTGCTGCATGCTACGATGTTATGGGTTTTTCTTTTCCTTCGTGATGAGACATTATTTATGGCACACTAACTATTCGAGACATGTTTTGCCCCCCTTCTTGAGAACTGCTGTTAGAGATCTCGAGTGACAAATACTCCTGTTTTGATGTTCTGACCTCTTTTTTCTTCCCCCCTTTTCTGTGCTTCAGATGCCAAGAAACAGATCCAACAATTTGCTAGTCAGACAATCGCATCGCATTTGACATCATCGTTGCAGTCAGCATTTAGTATCGTCTGAAATAACAAATGAACCGAGGAAATGCTGCAAGTTCGTCACGTTAAGAGGATATTGTTTTTCCGGAAGAAAAGGCCGCTTTATCCTCACTTCTTTTTTTTTTTATCTTGACCATTGTACCACACAAGAAATTTATTTACTTGTAATGAAGTCGTTATGCCATTTGCATGGAATGAAATGCATAAATTATTTAGTAAAATATTATGTTATCAAATATTTTCTTACCTTCATCCGATGAGCAAACATATTTATTATGACATGTTAGTGGTTCGTATTGTAATTAAATAATCCAAATTTTAAATATTTATGATTGTATAATACTTTATATGAAAGGATAATTAGAAAAAATAGATTTACGATGCTATGGTTAAAATTGACACAACATGCAGTTGTTGAGAATTTGAAACATCATCCAAACGCAAAGAAAGAAAGAATGAAGCCCTCATTTGATTTTATTATGTTATTAAGAAAACACAACAATTTGAGATACAAATTGAAGAACATTTTCACTAACTCAAAATAACAAAACAAATAATTAATGCCTCTAATTTCTCCTGAATTTTGTAATGTTTGACCATAAATCTATTTTTTTTATTTTATTTGAATGACCAAATGGTAAGACAGGAACTATAAATTCATTATCCCCAATTTAAATCTGGATGTTGCTTGTTCAACCAAAAAAAAAACTTGAGATTTCTCATTCTGCTGATTTTATGTAGGGATCTCAGATCGAACTTGTTCTCTGGGCTTACAGCAGATCTTAAAAAGGAAAGAACAAAGAAACAACACAAGTTCTTGGAGCCTCGAGCCCTTTATAGCCTACAATGAAAAAAGGCTCCTGCCATCTTTATTCTTTAGCTCCTTAAATCATAGTTAATGGAAAGAGGATATCACATTAATTGTAAATATCGGTTTCAAGCTTTCTCCAAAGGGAAGGTTTTATTCAGCATCAGGTCAAAGACTGCTGGGTAACCACAAAAAAATAAATGGTAAAATGTCAAGAACATGATGTAGGCCTTAGGAAATCTCCAAAATCCCAGCACAAGTGTTGATGGTCATGTACAAAAGTGTATTAGGACTCTGTTCATATACACAACTGAGTTAGGAGATACACCGAAATTATTGATCTCTGCACATATCTGAGCTTATTCCACAATCATGCCACCGAGAACATTGTGGAAGTCAGGTGTCGGCGAGTTTTTGTTCTTTAAAGCTTCCAGATCCTTTCCCGATGGCTTCTTGTGGTCGGTCATCTCAACCGGATACATTGCTGCAGCCAGAAACACTAATGAGATCACTGACTCACATGGTAGAAGCAATTTGCAGTGCTACCATATTCAATTGCATGACCAGAAAGAAGATAATGTTCCTTTGACTAAAATTGAATTTACTCATGGCATGAATGCAATCTACCTGGTTATCAATGAAATGCAACTTTTTATTAAATATGGGTGATCTGTTTTCCCCACCCAGAATAGGCACGAGAAACATTAGAAAATGGACTCCAAGCCATCTCATGGTAAACTTTTTAATACAAAACATAACACATAGCTAAAGCACAAGGAATATACTTGGGGGATGCTGAGGTAGAAGCATGAAGAACATTTTTTGATGCATTCTTGTAGAACTGAATGGAAATAAATCCACCCCTAGCTCGTACAGATGATTCGGGAGAACCATGGAAGCTGAAATTGGAACTGCCTCGAGAAATAACCCCTGTGAACACACCCAAAAAAAAATGAAGCCTGACAACCAAATAGTAAAATCTAGATAGTGATTTTCTAACTGAGTTGAAAAAAAAAAGTAATACACATAACAACACTAAAATGACATGTTATGATCATTGGTAAATTAATTTAGTTCCTCATGTAATCATGTGGTATGCGCTGATATTTTGTGCACAACCATTCCACAACCTTATCAATCCAAGGACCAAATATAAAATGGGCCATTAAAAGAAACATTAATTGCATGTACCATCATGTGCGATGACAACGTAAGTGAATGTTTAAAACTCAACTAGAGCATTCTAACATAACCATCTTAAGACCCTGAATACTAACCCACTAATGCATATAATACCTACTTCTGCAGATAAATACACAAGACAACATAATTGGTAATATAAATTTAGACCAGATTATTATCCTTGAGTATTCTTGGAACCCTGCTTCATAAATAAGTAAACTAGGAATCAAATAAAGTCCATCTGGAACCAACAAGAATCGGGTGAAGCAAAGAGTTTGAAGTGAATTATGAGACTAACGTTCCAGATTAAGGTTGACTGGCAAAACAGCTTCAATTATGAACCGAATCAAATGTGGGAGGCAGCTTTATAACAGTGCACCATTGATCAAGACTGAGGTAGAAGAAAAAAAACTCAAAATTTCAAATCAAAGGCTCGTTTGAATAATTACAAACAGTGAAACATAATTGAAGCAGATCAAAGGCTAGATGCACACCAATGAAGGCCTGTCTGGACTTCACTCAAAAAGTAAAGCTCTGGTGTACAATTCAGGACCAGACTTTACTTGCTTAGAATGAGCTAGCATTTAATCAACACTAGAACAAATCTGGGGATAACCATATGTGAGTGACTTGAATCATCTGGCAGTCCTAACCATCCACAAAACAAACAACTCAAAAGACACAAATGAATGTATCTATTGGAATCAACATCGTAGATGTCTTCCATGACAACTGAATGTTCTGCCATCTAATGCATGCATGACCTATACAAAAGTACGGACCACAGATGTTGTTTGAGATACACGAATAGAAGGGGTGAAATGTGGTACAATTATTAATTGCATAAACATGTCATTGTATCATGAGATTCTACTTTTAAATAAAAGTTCCAAGGAGAAGAAAATAACACTACTGGTGACTAGCATAACATAAGAGCTCAAATATTTTTTTTAATAACAAAATACGGATGCATGAAGTCATTAACTTAATTGATAGATGTGACAACTATATGCTTGAGAGAGGTGCTTGCATCAACTAAATAAGCTCATACCAAATTAAATATGCACACACCATAAAACAATTTAATAAATATAACACAGAAGCAAAAAATGGAACAGAAAAAAATCAAGTAGTTACCATATATCAGCATGTTAAAGCAGCATCTATGTGTAGACAAACCATTATAGCATAGGGAAAATTATAGTACACAAAAAAAAAAAGAAAACGAAGCCATTTTGAAACTATGGGCTTAAAAACTAGTTGGATAGCTCACAGAAAAGGTTTCTAAGTCTTCAAAATTTGCTTGTAAAGTAATGCAAATAGAGATAGATGATCAGTATAATCCTTTAGTATGCACAAGAAACATATTCATCACATTCGAATAATAAAATTTTAATGTTCAACGATATGAATCAAATAGACCTTTGACTCTAACAGTTTAGACTGCAAATAGGGTTTGACCTATCAAATTAACAAACATAATGTTCACAAAACTTTTGATTGGTTCTAGGGCAACATTCTTACACATAAATCATTGTGAAAAGAATAACAAAAGGAACATCAAATTGATAAGCAATTATTTCCTTCCTTTCCTTATCACCCAATGATTAAGAGTCACAAAAATCAGAAAGCATATCAATTTATAAAGCTCGATTATGGCATGGAGGTATGGAGGATTCTCTGATGTCAAGTAGAAAATTTAACATCAGACAATTGAAGTTCCTTCCTCGTATTATCTAACATATATAGGCATGTAACAAACAATTTACAGTGGCATGGAAATTCTAAGTATGGTGAGGCATGTCATACATAAAGTTGCTATGCAAATTAATCAACCAACACTAGAAAACAAAGATGCACAATGTCATCAACAGATTTAGTTCCAGCATATACAAGTAGCATAGGTAACATCAACAACCAAAGAAGAGATGCCAAGTTAGTTGAGAGTTTAGTCCTTCCAATGCTAATAGGAAGCAGCAATATGGTATGACAATGCCAAGATTTAGAAAAAACATTAACAAGTTATATACTTCTCATGACATTTTCATTGCATATTAAAAGTAACAAATCCTATTCCAACACACTATCAACATGTATTAGGGATGCATCGCACCTTGCCATATTATAACAATGACAAAAAGAATAGTGATAATAAAGGCCCAAAAGTTGCCGTTGGAATGTGTCAACTTGGCATTCTTCATCTTCTTTTTCATCCGTTCAATCCTTGCCCGCTTCATCATCGCAACCTCTGCGATCTCTTTCATGAGCTTCTGGTCTGCAGCATCCAAAGGTGGAGAGTTGGGAGGCCGAGGTGGTTTGGGAGGTTTCTTGCACCCCTTCTTTTTTGTCTTCTCGACTCCAATTTTCTTCTCCGAAAGGCCCACCTTTGCCTCTTGTCCAAGCCTCTTGTCCACCAAAGCTTCCTCCTTTGTGAGAGGAAGCTCTACAGTGTTAGATGTACTATGATAAAGCTTCACAGATCTTTCACCTTTTATCGACCCACTAATAGCGACAAAGCCATTCCACACCCTACCCAGTACTCCTTTATCCTGTCCAGCACTAAACACGGTATCCTTTGCTTCTTGCTGTTCTTTATTCACAGAATTCACGCCACTTTCTAAATCAAACACAGGATCTCCTTCACCGAAACAATTCTTATCCATGATAACCATAAATCCAGCCTTCCAAGTCACAAAATTTAGTAGCTTTCAAATCCTTGCTTGCCAGCATCTATACGAGAACACTTCCTCTGCTGCAAAACTGCCACCATCCTGCATTCCAAAACGGTCAAAGATCATTAAGTCACTGCCAAAAGTCCATCCTTTTTCTAATCGGAAAACATCCATCGAAGAAAACAACCAACATTCTCCTGGGAGAATCTAGGGTTCTTCATCAAAACCTTAGGATGCAGCGCAACCTTTTCATTTCCTTTTCGCATCCGAGAAAGAATAATAAAAAAGGGAACTTTCCACACCAAACAACATCGATCTTGCCAAACATAACCAAAAATCGACGAGCAATGAACAAACGTAAGCCGATCCGCGGTGCTTACCATTCCGCCCAACCAAACAAAACCCTCAATCGAATCAAAACGAAGGCATGAGCTTGGCATCCATCTTCGACGAAACAAGTCAAAGGGTTCCGACCGAGGGAGTAGGCGGGGGGGGCCTGTCGGGAACGGATAAGGGCGGAAATAGGGTTCCCTTAAGGACAAATCGAGGGTTGGTGAAGCTGAAGCATCGGAAGCTGGGGAAAACAATTGGATTCAGCCAAAACCAAGCCCGCAAACACGAATGAATCCAAGGGAAGTACGATCGAACGGTGTGAGATGGCCAGAGGGAGGCGAGGATCCACTCCAAGAAAGCTCTTAAACTGGATTCCTTCAATTCGCATGAGTTCCTAACTCGTCACTCGACCACTGCGATTTTGACACGCGGCTTTCCGATTTAAACTCGATTCCTTCAATTCGCATGAGCTCCCCTTTTACCTTGTCACTCGACCACTGAGATTTTGACACGCGGTTTTCCGAGCATTTTCAGCAAGTAAAATAATTATAGGCAATTAGATATTAGGCGATTTCTCAAAAAAAATATCCTAATTTTTGAATTTTCTCAAATGACATCTCAAATTTAAAAAAGTCGCACGAAGTATTTTTCAAAAATAATAATTTAACTCCCATAGGCCATTGTCCTTCGCCTACCCCTCTCCCCTTGCACTTAGTCACCCTACGCTTAGTCACCCATCGACAACCCCTCTCCCCTTGCACTTAGTCACCCTACGCTTATTAATCCGATTTGGTGATCAACTATGAAAAAAAAATGCTTTATAAAAATTTTAAATTTAAAGTGTTTTACAAGAAAAAAATTGTAAAGTTATGAGTTTTTTTTCATAAATTCATTGTTAGATATTTGTAAATACAATATTTTATTATATAAAACTAATTTACTTCTAATTTTAATACTATATATCCTTTTAAATATTTTATTTCCATCAATATCGATCTAACTGATAATATTAATTAATATTTATAATTTTTATAATAATAAGAAAATTAGAGAAGATTATCAAATTGAGATAAAATTATAACAATAATTATTTTTTAAATAAAACTTATATCGGTGATATTATTGTTGAATCTCGTATTTTGATGATGAAACTAATTGATATGTGTTTATATTTTAATCTGCGTTTTGAGTGATGCAAGATGCTTCGATCAGGATGAGACAATTAAAGCAAGAAAAATCATGTTGTGCCGAGGGAAAATATGTTAGAAGATTAGACGTCGGGCCGGTGGAACGGTTGACATATCGATAGAAGGCTTTGTTAGGATCGGAGCGGCACTAAGAGGGGGGGGTGAATTAGTGCAGCGGATTAAAACTTCGATTTTAACAAGATCTTTCGTACGTTAAGAACGAAACTTGAGAAATTTAACTTGAAGGCGTATTCTTGAAGTTGCGCAGCAAGAGTAATAAGGAACTAAAGCAGTAAGAAGATTTGCAGTAATGTAAATGACAATAATAAAGAGCAAACCAGAGATTACGCTGATTTTTAGAGTGGTTCGGTCAAATGATCTACTCCACTTGCGAGGCCCCTCTTCGATGAGGCTCCCACCTTCCACTAGCAAGTCTCTTGAAATGG